AGATAAAGTGGGGTGAGGCAATGGTGGGGCAGCTTCCTTAGACAAGAACTTCCTTTGGGTTCTTCTAGCAGATCATGAACAAGGATGTGAGCGTAAGTCATTCCTTTAGAAAGAGCTCTCAGGAAGCGTCACTAGAAGTGAGAAAGGATGAACACCCCAAAGTAGACAAAAGAGAGCAAATTATCACGTGAGGGATATCACGTGGGGTGCAAGCCAGTGGAGGCCCCAGGAGAAACGTGCTGTCAGGGCTATTCCCTCTGCTGGCCGGGCCAGCAGGGGTGCAGGGGTGGGGGCTGGTCTGCAGGGGCGAAGCTGTGGGCAGTGTGGTGGCGTCTGGAGGGGCATAGATGACGTTCCCCCGGGAGCCGGCGGAGGCCTCTCAGGGGAGGTGACTGGAAACACCGGGACAGGGGGGTCAGTGGTCCAGACCCAGGGGACAGCAAGTGCAGGCTGGGACTGGGCTTCTCACTGGTCTGGAGGTGGGAGGGGGGCGCGGGGGGGCGGGTGTGGCTTGAAGGGCGAGTGAGCCAGACACTTCTTTCTGGCAGCCCACAGGCACAATGCTTGTCCCTTCTGGGGCATCCTGAGCCTGGCCCTCCTTGGGTAAAGGCCGTGCTACGGGGTCGGGGCTCTGAAAGTGGAACGGGAATCCTCTGCTTTGTCTCTGTGGTGGGAACATGGCTGTACCCTGACTTTTTTCTTTTTTTTAATCTTTGATGCTTAATAAAAATACTGCAAAGGGCTGATTACACACTCAAGGTTTTTGCCCTTGCCTTTTGGTAATGACAGTAGCTCATACCTGAGTGGCACTTGGCACACACCAGGCGTGATTCTGGCCCGAGGGTGCCAGCCTGGTCTCTCAGGGTGGTAGAGGGCCTGGGCCCCGCCCCATTCTGACTCCTGGCCCAGGGGACCTTAAAGAGGAAAGCACGTGTTCGGAGCTGCGGGTTAGCTGGGCACATGGGCGCCCCGGCCTGCTCTGATGGTGGGTCATCTGCAAAATGCAGAGTTAAAGTAGCGCAGTCATTACTTACCACGGGCCAAAAATAACCAGAAACGGAACTGGGCAGTTGACTCAGGCCTGTATTTGCCTGGGGACCCTGGGAGCTCCTTCTGGAAAGTAGCGTGGTCTCCAGCCTGTCTGAGACGGCTAGGTGGGCGAGCAGGGTTGGTGGGGGTGAATCCTAGCATCTGGCTTTACTGGGTGCTCCTAGGTGCTGCTGTCTGCAGGAAGGGTGGGGCAGGCCAGCCTCCTCATGCCTCAGGGAGGAGATGAGTCATGCCCAGAGGTATGGCACCAAGGAAGGGTTCCCTAGAGAGGAAGGAGGATCCTGGCTGGGCCTGGGAGGGTAGGGTAATGGGGTTGGGGGTACTAGAGAAAGTAGGGCGAGTTAGGACAGCAACATTGGGAAATTCCTGGGGGAGGCAGACACAAAGGGTAGTCCTTTAAGAGGAAGACACATGGTAGGCAGCTGCTTGGCTGAGAGTGATGGGGCTGCCGGAGGAGAGGCTGCCGTCCTCACTGCTCCTCACTCCAGCCAAGCAACCCACTGAGAGCAGATGCGGCCCTGGTGTATGGTTTATTGGCCCCTTTCAAGGGCAGGGCCCTGCTAACTAAGCGGGTTGCATGTTATTACTTCATGATATTATCTCATCCAAAGTAGCCCTGTGAGCCAAGGAACTGTTGTTTCCCCCATTTTATAGATGAGAAAACAGGCCCAGGGAAGGTGATTGTCTCATTCAAGAGCATTCGGTGTGGGAACTGGAATTCTGGGAGACCCTGGCCCTTAACCACTAGGCTTACCGCCTCAAAGGTGCCTTCTGGAGGGGGCTGGAGGGGAGTCAAGAGAAGGGAAGGGTCAAGGGGACTCCTTGAGCAAAGGCACAGGCGTGGAGAGTGTCAGTCACCGCATGAAGAATCTCTGTGAGGTTGGAGCTGCAGTTGTGTGTGCGTTTGCTTGTGTGTGTGTGTGTGTGTGTGTGAGTGTGTGTGTGTGTAGGCACATTGGGTGGAGGAGAATGGGGGATTGAGAATTCCCCAGCCGTCATTGTGGGAACTGTCTGTAGTGGATTGGGAGATGGGGCTGGGGAGGGTTCCTCTGAACTGCTGTGCATCTTGCCCGAGTTCTACCCCTCTCTGGGCCTCATTTTCATCTCCTATCTTGTGGTGTCTTTGGTGAATCACTAGTATACTAGGGCTCTCTTCTGGGAGGCATTAGAGGGCGTGTCAGGCCGGCAAGGAGGAATGCAGAAAAATGCCAAGCATTTCAGAGGTCAGGGAGGACCGGGAAATATTTTGACAGCAAAGAGGTTGTCTGTGACCTTGGCAAGCGTTGGCCCTTTGGAATGGAGGGAGCGGAAGTGACTTTGGACAGGAGCCAGGCAAGAGCCAAGTTAGAGGAAATAGGAAAGTGGGGACATGAAAATGGGGGGAGGAAGGATGTTTGCTGTAGGGCAGGGACAGATAATGAGATGAACAAGAGCATCCCTGATATTCTGGTAGTGCCTGCCTAGAGCCTTGTGCTGAGAAACAGTCCTGTCTAAGTCAGAGGGAAATAGAGCTGCCCTTGATTAGCAATGTCTGCCCAGGACATAGCCGACAGACATGACAGCCTGTAGTTTGCCGTCTTTGCTGAGATGGATCTTGGATAGAAAGTGGTAATCTGCGTGTGTTGACCTACAGAGGGACACCTCAGGAATTTGGAACTGTGGGGGAAATACCTCGGACTCCAGCAACTTTCCCCTGACCTTTTGCTAGAATTAAGGTATTTGCTTGATGGGAAGGTAATATGGCCTACTCACCAGGAATGTGGCATTTTTGAGTCAGATGGCCTCAATTTGCTCACCTGTGGAATGGGAATGAAAGAGCGCCTGCTTGCAAGGTGGCTGTGAGTGTTACCGGTAGTGGGAAGAGCCGCTGCCTTGTTGTTGACTTTGTTACCCGAATGACGTGGCTTTGCCTTGATGCTGTTGATTCTTGGCTTCTTTGATGGCAAGGTCCTTGCCCCATCACCCAGCCTAGGACTGGGGCGTCTTTGAGACCTTCTTACCCCTTTGGAGGAGCAAAGGAAATGGATGATGTATGAAGTAGAAAGGAAGGAGGTTGATGGGTCAGCCCCACTTCTGGTCATGCCTCATGTTGGGGTGGAAGTTCAAGGGCACGGGCTAGAGGGCAGTGAGCCAGGTGAGAGAGCCAGGGTTGGGTTAGAGGCATTTTAGGCCTGAAAGAAGTCTTGGGGTAGTCCAGGTCATCTCTTAGCGCAGTGGCAAGCCAGGCCATGAATCGTTGCTCGCCTGGATTTCAGCTGACAGGGGAGGGCTGGGTACACCTGTAAGTTCATGTGTGACCCAGCCCCCAAACGCACATGCATTCTTTTTCACGTGAGGAAACAGACTTAGGAACAGTTGCTTTCTCAAGTCAAATCCAGAGCACGGATGTACAAGGCTTCCCTGGCCGGTGGAGGAGACAGAAGCACTGGAAGCCGAGCATTGTAGGCAGGAACAAGGAGGGGCGGTGCAGGCCTGACCTGATAGGGGCCTGGTGGTGCCGTGTGGGCCCAGGTCTCAACTCCTGCCCAGCCAGGAGCCGGGCTCTGCCTTCCAGGGGGAGCCCACAGGCCTGGCAGGGCGTCAGCTGCCCTGACACCAGCAGCGGACACTTGTAAGCTTTCTTCCTGTGACTTTGCCATTGGAGTTAGTTAAGGAGGCCCCTGGAGGAGGCAGGAAATGGTTTAGGGAAGCTGGCCCAGGCTACTTTGGGGGCCCCTAGAGGTTGATTCCGGTTTTGATTCTGTTACATCCAACAGGGTGTGTGACAGTAAAGTGCTTTTCCTCATCTGTAAAACGGGCCCGTTCACAACACCGCCTATAATTGCATCAGAGAGAAAGATAAGCAACAGGCTCAGGGCTGTGAGTGTTCACTGGGCCTAGTGAAGGGACCGTGAGGAACCCCTGGAGGCCTCCAGTTCTGACCTCCTGGCTTCCCAGCGGAGTAAGCCGATGCCCTGGCCTTCAGCTCCTGGGGAGGGGCCTGCTCTGGTTAAAACCCTGGTACTGACCAACTTCCGTCGGGTCTCACTGTCTGCTGGGGGCCCTCCGCCCATGGATGGGACCAGGTGGGCGTCTCTTTTCAACTCTTCCTCCAGCACACCTGCTGGCGTGTTTCCCTGCCCAGAGAGCCAGGCTCGTCTGTCCCCGCATTTCCCAGCCTTCCTGACCTTCGACTTGGCTAGTTTTCAAAGGGCCTCTCCACATGTGTGCTCTTTGTTAGTCTCAGAGAGGAAAGGAGAGGAGACTCTCCGGACCGAGCGGGGGTGGGAAGCAGGAGTGGAAGGCCAAGCGCAGTCTGCAGGATCGTGGTGGCATTTCCCTGACGTCCTTTGAGCAGTCGCCCTGTCTCCCACCCCCTCCCTGGTGCTGCTTCTTCCCCGCCCTGGCCCCTCAGCCGACCTCTTGCCTGAGCAGGACAGCAGGTGTGGGACAGCAGAGCCGGCTAGGGCACGGGGCCAGCAGGTTCGCATGCTGATTTCACCCTTTAGTCAGGGTCTGTGGCCTTCATGACTTCTCTTCCAGCCTTAGTTTCCTAGTCTGGGAAGTGGGGTAGTACCTACCTCACTTTGCAGGTCGCACGGAAGATTCCATGTCAGCATTGCCGTTGACAGTTTGGCTTCTGACTTGAAAATCCGTTCGGACCGTGGCTCTTGTACTCGCTGCCTCTGTGGACTTGGCTATGTGATTTCGCCTCCCTGGACCCAGGCCTAAGCATGGATCTGATAAGAGTGCCTAGCTCATAGGTTCTCATGAAGATAAGAATATTTTATGTAAAGTTTCTTAACCACAGTGCTTGATATGTACTGGAAAACATTTGTTAACGATAAAAATACTGGTGGCAGGGGTTGGCCAGAGTCCCCTGCCGTCCTCCTGGGTTGGGGCTGGCGAGAGCTGTGCCGCAGTGGGTGGGCTCGGCCTGGTCTGAGAGCCTGTCCCCCTGTCCAGAGCTGCCTGAGAACTGGACAGACACCCGGGAGACCCTGCTCGAGGGCATGCTCTTCAACCTCAAGTATCTGGGCATGACACTGGTGGAGCAGCCCAAGGGCGAGGAGCTGTCGGCTGCGGCTGTCAAGAGGATTGTGGCCATGGTGAGCACCCAGTGCCAGTGGAGTGGGTGGGGCCATGGCCGAGGGCGGCTTGTCCCCTTCTGGTGGTCTAGTTGAACATTCTGCGCTGCCCCCACCCCGAGGCCCCTGTTCCAGGTGGCTGAGGGACTGGTGGGAGGGTGCAGTCAGGCTTGTGGAGCCAGGTCCTCTCTGGCTGTGTGGCCGTGGCCTTCCCCAGCTTCCTCTCCCCCCACACGGGCTGCTGCCCAAACTGGTAGCTGAGCAGTGCCCGGGTGGGGAGGCTGCCGTCACCCAGGCCTGCCCTGTGGCCCGGGACAGCGTGGCGCCCCGGTCTGCCCTCCCGCCTCTGCGCTGTCATGGCCCTGTAAATTCCCTCCCTGGGTGGCCTGGACCCCGCCTCTGAGAGCCCACTGGTGCTCAGCGTCTGAGGCCCCTCTCAGCTTGGCCATTCCACAGCCTCTCTGAGTCCCCCCTCTGGGAGGAGCCTTCCTGCCTGCGAGGGGACTGGAGTGGGCGGACAGTGCGCTCACCGGGCACTAGCCGCTCCTGATCGCGGGGTCTAGCCCCCGAGGGTCGGTCCCAGGCAAGTCAGGCAGGCCCCCTGATCCATGTCTGCTCCAAGGCCAAGGCCAGTGGGAAGAAGCTGCAGAAGGTGACTCTCAAGGTGTCGCCCCGGGGGATTATCCTGACCGACAGCATCACCAGCCAGCTCATTGAGAACGTGTCCATCTACAGGTACGCTCAGCATCGCCTCTGTCCCCTACGCCACCTGGGGCGGTGGCGGCCGCGCTCCGTTGGCATCTGCCTGCCTGGTGGCCTCAGAGCCTTACTTTCCTCTGTCAGCGTGGTGGAAACAGCTCTGTGTGGAGTGCTGTTGCTCAGCACCTGGCTCACACGGGCACTTGGTTAGATGGCAGTCGCTCTGGTCATTATCTAGCTACAGCAGGCCGCCCCCCAGCCCCCACCCCCTCCCCACAGGCTTGCTGCTGAGTCAGGCTTGGAATGAGGGCGGCCCAGTCATTGCCTTTGCCTGCCGCAGCCTGGACACTACTGGGGAGGCCTCAGACAGTCTGAGTCCTCGGTAGGTGACCTCTGTCAGGGGTGTCCTCGTTCACAGTCTTTGGAGCCTCAGGCTAGCCCCATCCCTCTCTCTGCTGGCCACTTGCAGAGTTTCAGAGCAGGAAGGGCCAGCCCAGGCCACTTTACAAGTGGAGCCCTAGAGAGGGAATTTCCCGAGGCCTCGAGAGAGGTAGTGCCAGATGCTGGGCTGGGCCTGCAGCAGGCCCTCCTGCCGGGCCTCCCCAGGCCTTGCCCTGCCTCCTCCAGATGGCCCACTGCTGGGCACAGCCAGCACTGAGGGGCGGTGGGGAGATGCACGTGTTTGCAGGGGAGGTTTTAGTTTCTGGCTGGGATCTTCCTTCCATCTTGATTCTGCCTCTTCTTTGACCAACATAATCTACCAGGGTGGGGAATCAGACCCAGCTCCTGCCTTCAAGGAGCTTCCAGTCTTGGAGGGACTGGAGGGAAGAAATGGATAGACGTGTCAGTGTTTTCCAATAAAACAGAGAAGGAGGAGCCTGCCCAGGGAAAGCAGTCACCTTCCTGGAGGTGGGAAGAGGCCGGATCCCCTGAGATGGAGAAGAGGCAATTGGGGACCTAGGGTTCCTCCCTCTGCCTGCTTAGGGATCTTGCCGGTTCACCCCATGTCCATGACTGTCGTTGAAGCTGGGGCTGCATATGGCACAGTAGATAATATCTGGGCTGCTGTTGGTCTGGTGTGCAGTACATGCCCAGCTATTACTATTTTGGGGCATTAGTAGAGGAGAAAGCGCCCTCCTTCTGGTCTTTACCGTCCCCCCACTTACTGCATAGTCAGGGTTCCCCTAGCGGATGGCCCAGGATGCTAGGCCTAGAAGCCAAGGCCGTTTCTCCAGAATCTCTTCCTGTTGGTGTGGGCTAGCAGGCTCTGAAACTCAGGGGAGGCACCCTGTGGGGTGTCTTGGATGTGGTCAGACCCCCTTCTGGGGGTCTGGTGACATCTCCCATCTGCCTTTCAGGATCTCCTACTGCACAGCGGACAAGATGCATGACAAAGTATTCGCCTACATTGCCCAGAGCCAGCACAGCGAGAACCTCGAGTGCCACGCCTTCCTCTGCACCAAGCGCAAGATGGTCAGTGAGGAGGGCTGGGCCTTGGGCAGGCCCTGGCCTTGCTGTGGCAGCTCTGCCCTTGGCGGCCGTGTGGCAGGGGCAAGACCCAAAGGCGATGATCACAGAAAAGTGAGAAATCTGGAGCCCCCAGTGGTGCTGAGCTGAGGGTCCCAGGTAGGGCTGCAGTCAGGTGGGTGACCTGTCACAGGAGCTGCCTGTTGGCCAGCCTGGCCTCTCGTCTGGGAGCACCCTGAATTCCCAGTGAGTGCCGTGGGCCCCTTCTCTGTAATGTGATTTGCTGGGTTGGAGATTTTGGGGCCTCCTGTCACTAGTCCAGAGGGCAGGCCCCAGCCAGCCATCAGCATGGAATCAGCGTGGCTGTGGGACGGGCAGAATGCGAGCCTGAGTGGACCTGCTGCTGTGGTGGGCAAGGCTGTTTTGCATGCCTGCTGTGTGCCTGTTTCGGTGTCAGCCTGGAGGTGTCTTCTCGTTGACTCCCCACAGCAGCACAAGAGCGCCCTTCCCCGCCCAGACCACCCGACCTCCTCTGCCCGGGCTCAGGAGCCTCGGTGGTTTCTGGGCACTTGCCTTGAAGCTTTATTTTCCGTGTTCCTGAGCTTTGAGTGTCCTCCCTGCAAGGGGCTCCCGACACGTGTGGGTTTAGCACTGACCCTTGGCGTGCGGAGTGGCCACGCCCTGTGGTCTCGGGGAGACAGCAAGGTCTTCTCCCCTGGCCTGGTCACCAAGTGTGCTCAGAGACATCACAGCTCTTCCCGCCCCAGCTTCCTGCCCCCACTCCAGGGCACTCTAGAGGTGGAACACGTTACCTACTGCTGCTCTAAGAAATTAACGCAAGCTCAGTGGCTTGAAACAGCACCCATGCACCTCGTGGTTCTGGAGATCAATTCCAAACCGGATTGGCAGGACTGTCTTCTCGAGGTGAACCCATTTCCTGCCTCCTGTAGCTTCCTGAGACCAGCCGCACTCCGTGGCTTGTGTTCCACCTTCGCGCCAGCAGCCCCGCCTCTCCTCAGCTCCCTCTCTGCCTCTGTCGTCATGTTGCTTTTCCTGACTCTCAGTCTCACAGGGTCCCTGTGCCTGGCCCCCCTGGGTAACCCAGGACAATGCCCCATCTCAGAATCCTTAACCACACCTGCCAAGTGCCGTTTGCCGTGGAAGGTGGCACTTACAGGTCCCAGGGCCTGGCTCGGACATCTTGCTGGGGTGGCCACGGTCCAGCCTAAGAGGGCTCTCCAGGGGTCTGCTCCTGGCAATGTGCTGTGTGGCCGCGGGTAAGACCCCACCCTTCTCTGGGCTGCTTGCCGTCGGGTTGAGGAGGTGCCCTCAGTGACCTGCAGGATTGTTCTAGAGGGCCTGTTTTCTTTGGTGTGCTTCTTTCCTGCAAACTCAGTGTTGCCGACCCTCTTGGGGCCTGGAGATGCCCGAGGGCCCTGAGCTGTGGTGGCTTCTTCCGGGACAGCCTACTTCCCACTGGCTGTTGGCTTTGTCTCTTAGGAGGCCAAAAGAAACTTAAAAATACAAGTTCATTATATCCCTGTTGTTTGTCTCTTTCTCCCCACTGACCAGCGCAGCCTCTGGGCAGCTGGTCCAGACTGTTGTTGCAATGGGGGCCCTGGGTGGCAGGAACTCAAGATGCAGAGGCTGCCTCTGGATTGGGGAGCTTGGCTCAGTGCATCCAGGGAGGCCTGGCCTGGGGCCAGAGGACTTTAGACAGACTTTCACCAACAGCCTGCCCCCAGGCCAACAGGCCGGCTCCTGGGGAGGATGGCCTGCAGCTGCAATGCCAACAGTGGGGCGTGCTTAGGCAGGGGGGTCAGCTGCTGCTCAACCTTCGGCCCACACCCCACATTTGCCCACACGCACTGGGGCCGACTGCAGGGAGGGCAGCTCAACTTCACCCTTCCCAGGCCCTTCTCTTCAGGGAGCCCAGAGAGGCCCCTCGGTGAGACGACCCAATCAGGGTGATGTGACTGGGCCCCCCAGTGCAGGGCCTAGTGGGCCCCTACGGGCAGCGAGCTGATAGGCTGGCCTGGGACGTTGCAGGGAGGCGGAAAACACGGATAGCTCAGGCTCCCCAGCCACCTGCTGCCTGGAAGCTCTCAGGTGTGTGCGCTGCTGCCTCTCCTGTGTCAGGCATGAGGGCCAGGGGATTGGCCTTGCTGTCAGCAAGAAGATGGGGGACAAGCGCCTGGATTCAGTCACGGGAGTCCAGGTGGCTTGGTCCAGGGTGGAGGTTATTAAGCTTCCCTGGAGGTCAGGTTTCCCAGCGTGGACATTTAGAACCGGGCTTTGTGAAATGAGAAGCGAGTAGGAGTTTGCCAGGCCCAAGAAAAGAGGTGGGGTGGTGGGGGTGGCCGCCCCCCCAGTGCAGGAGTGAGCACGTGTGGGCGGTGCCGTTGAGTTGGAGGGTGAGCCCCAGTACCGTGCTGCCTGGTGGCTGTCTCCCAGGCTGCGGGGTGCTGGTGCAGCCCTTCCTCCTTGTCATCAGGGGCCCTCAGTCTCCACATCCCCACCTTTCCATGCTGGGCATAGCAAGGGGTGGGGGGTGGGGTTCTTTTCTGTCAGCCCCAGTTTAGCAGCACAGCCACCAAGCCTCTCTCCCCAGTGGCTCTTCCCGGGTGTGGCCAGATAAGCTTCTCGGACAGACCCCTCCGCCTGCCGGGCTGGGGGCCTCTGGGAGCGCCTCTGCCCGGGGCCCTGCGGTGAAGGTGGCGCTGCCGCGCGCTGGGGTTTTGGTGCCAGTGAGCTGACAGCAAACAAAGCGATGGCTCCCGGCTCTCGCAGGGCCGGGAAGGGCAGAGCCGGCCTCCCTCACGTGGCCACTGGCATGTCTTGGGTCATCCTTTCATGCAGGGATTTATGTTTCTGAGGTAACGGGGCAGGAGGGGGCACGTGGCCCGCGTTGGTCTAAGCCCTGAGCCGGGATCTGAGGATCCTGGGGTCCCGGCCCGGCTCCTCGAGCCGCAGCCAGACCTGGCCCTGCTGAGTTGCTGACAGCCCGGTGACTGGGAGCAAGACAGGGCAGCAGTCCCTGAGTGAGGCGAGTCTGCTCAGGGGTAACGAGAGGCCCATGGGCCAGCGGCAGCAGAGGAGGACGGCAGAGCCCCGAAGGAGGTGTCCTGGGGGCAGGCGGAGCGGCCCTCCTAGCCGGTGCTGCCCAGACTCTGCAGCCACCGAGCGAGCAGGGCCCACCCCTCCCCAGCTCGCCCCGGGCGTGCAGCCACCTCCTAGGTTATATTTGGTTTAACTTGCAGCTCGAAGCTTCAGGGCAAAAGGGCAGGAATGTATGCAAATGAACAAGCAGATTTATGCAAAAACAGTACCAGGCGTGTGCCCCCAGATTTCCGAAGGCAAAAATAATGGTGTTTCCATCTCCCTGCCACGTCGGGTGACCAGCTCCTGCTCGGGTATATAGCGATCTGACTCCGGCTGGTAATTAGCCCATATTTTTAGTTCATGGGCAATTCTCAATGGTAACTGGGCCTATTAAACTTGATTCAGACGTGACAGATTAAATTGTAAACAGCTGTGAAGAGTTTCATACTTAATTACCATATTTAAGTTTTGCCGTAAAGTGCCGTACTCCCATCAAAAATGTAAATGACGGAGACATTCAAATGAGATTTTATACTTCGTGAAGTTTAATTGGCATGGATCAGTCAGCTTGTTTAGGGATTTTAAATTAAAAAAAAAAGCAAAAAGAATTTTAAATGTGGTAGCCACAGATTCATTTCTCAATTAAATTGAGTTGTTTGGTGGCGGGGCTGGCGGTGGGGCCAAGCTGGTGGGCCTGGGCCTGTGCCCTTGAGAGTCCGGTGCTTGCTTCTCTGGACTAGGGTTTGCCAAAGAAGTTGATTAATCCTGAACCAGACAGAGTCCAGAGAGGAAGTGGCCGAGGTGAAGGCGGCCTAGGGGAGGTCCTCCCAGGGGAGGCCTGCCCCCCTGGGCAGGTGCAGTCCAACCAGAGGGGCTTTGCTGTGGGGGTGGGTGTGCAGACTTGAGTGTTGCCTATAGGAAGCACCCAGCTGGGAGCCCAGGCCTGTGAGCTGGTGACTTGCATAAGCATGATGCCAGGCAGGGGTGAGCAGAGCTGTGAGAGCCCTGTGCTGGTGCTGTTTGAAGTGAGTTTCAGTGGGTGGGTGGAATTCTCCAGGGTTAAGGGTCAGGGCCCTTCTCAGAGGTAGATGGTGGCCCTGGATGGTTTTGGTCCCCTGCCACAGGTGCTCATTGACATCTTGTTTGTGCCAGAGATGCATAAGCCTCCTGCTCCCTGCCTGGGATCCAGTTATAAGCCCCGCCGACCTGACAGCACTAACCAGAGGCCATCTTTGTGCCTCTTACTGTGGCTCATTCAGACGTTGGCTTTTCTGTTCTCTTAAATCCAAGGGCTGTTTCTGGATGAAGTCCTCAGATAACTAGGGAGGGCTTCTAGGAGGCGGTAAGGCTCACAGTCAGTTGTATTTAGAGAAGCCCAAAGGAAGGAATAAACAGCTGTTGCAAAGGTGGGGTGGGGGCCTGGAATGAGGCTGGGAACTTGGCCGGGCTCCAGGCCCTACCCACGTTGCTTGGGGAAGGTGTGGTCTCACTACACCCTGGCGCTTCACTTAGGTGGCCGAGAGGGCCCAGGACTCTGCCTCCACCTCCGGCATTCCAAGCCCTGGATTATCAGAAAGGGAGGGAGGGAGGGAGTCTGGGCAGGCCTGGCCTGGAGTCCCCACGACTCTGGTTCAGACTTGCTGTTAACTGTCTGACACTGCACCCCCCTCCCCACCCCACTTCCTGTTTTCTAGGCCCAGGCTGTCACCCTCACAGTAGCCCAGGCCTTCAAAGTTGCCTTTGAGATTTGGCAGGTGTCCAGGGAAGGTGAGTCTTGTAACAGGACATGGTGGGTGGACTGGCGGAGGAGCGAGGGTGTTGAAGAAGGCCTCAGGGTAGTGTGGGCCGGGGAGGGGTGGTAAAGGCCCTGAGGTCAGGCCTGAACTGATTCCTATCTTTATCACCTGCTTGTTTTATGACTGGACAGGTCACTTCACCTCTCTGAGTCTCAGTTTCCCCATCTGAAGAAATGCGAACAGCTGTCCCCCTCCCCCAGGGTGCTTGTGAGGATTGAATGAAACCTGCAGTTTCTTTCCTCCTTGCTGGAACTAAACCTACCCCAGGAAGGGCCAGTCTCCCCTGCCCAGCCACTGTTGGGAACACGGTGCTGGGGTCAGCGGGGATGTGGGTTCCAGTGCTCTGTGCCTTGGTCCCACAGAGAAGGAGAAGAGAGAGAAGGCTGGCCAGGAGGCAGGAGACGCCCTGGGCGGGGGCCTCCGGGACAGCACCCCTGCGCTGAAGAGCCGTGAGTCTTGGGCTGGCTGGCGGGGGCTGGGTCTCTCGAGGCTGCAGAGGCCTGCTCCTTCCTGGGCTGGGCGTGGTCGTAATTTCTATTTTTTTGTTGTTAAATAAATAATACATTTTTATTGCAGATAAATTAGAAAATGTTCACAAAGAGAAAAAGTGACTGATTTTAGTGCATGCTCTTCCAGAGGAGCCCACACGGCCTGCAGCCCCCTGCACACCCTGCTGCACCCTGCGCCCTGCCCTGTGGCCCTTGAGGTCAACACGGCAGTGACTAGAGACTTCCCAGAGTGTGTCACCACTGGGACAGGCTCTGACCCCTTGGCAGCCGCCCCACTACCTCAGGGGTGCCGTGGTGGGACTCCTCTATGGGTGGAGTGGGGGGGTGGCCAGGTCCAGGACAGCAAGGGGGATTCTGGAGGGAGGGAGCTGAAAACGGGAGGCTCTGCTCCCCTGATCCACTAACTGAACCCTCATAGTGGTTGCCACTGGGAACCTGCTGGACTTGGAGGAGACGGCCAAGGCTCCGCTGTCCACGGTCAGCGCTAACACCGCTCACATGGACGAAGTGCCACGGCCTCAAACCTTGAACAACAGCAGTGTTGTCTGGGTGAGTGGCCTTGTAGTCTGGGGGCCCAGAGGGATCTAGTGCAGCCTGATGCCTGGAGGAGGCCTGAGGCCGCCCCTGGGGCTAGGCCCTGCACCCCGCTTGCAGGCCTCTGGGAGGGCAGACCCAACCCAGCAGCACCCAGGGGAGGCAGTGAACAATGTCCCCTTTGAACCCGGGCTGCGGCCCTGCAGACGTGGTGCCCAGCACAGCTGTCTCCTCACAATGCCTGGCCTCTCGGCCTGAGCATCCCCGGCCCTGCCCACCGCAGGACCAGCCAAAGGCTTCCTTGTTCTCAGCGTGGGCCGAGTGGGCTCCTGACATCCCACCCCCTCGGCTGTCTAAACGAGGAGCCTGAGGCCTGGGCAGTTGCCCCTGGCCGCCCTGTGACTCAGGGCAAGGCCCCTGACCTCAGGAGGATGATGAACTCTGGCTGCATAATCTCCCAGAGGAACCTGCCTTTTTCTTTGGAAAAAATTTTAAAATTCACTGGGAAACAGCTTCAGACTTACAAAAAGTTAGGGAAAATAACAAGGAACTCCTGTTCGCTCGGTGCAGACTCCCAGCGCCGGCCCCTTGCGTGACCCCTGGCTCGCGGCCGCCTGGCGCCCACGGCTGTGTCACCTGCGGCCTCGCTCCTGTCTCACGGTCCCTCCAGCCGCCGCGTCACGCGCTTTTCCTGTCACGCGTCTCTGTTTTTTTGAAATCTGGAGCTTTGCGGGCCTTGGAAAAGCAGCCAGGCCCTGTGCCCCCTGGGGCCTCCTGGGACGGTCCCCCGAGCGGTTCCCCAGGCCTGCTCTCTGCTCCCAGATTACCCCCTTACGGCCCGGCCCGGCAGGTGAGAGCCTCGCCTGCTTGCCCATCGAGGCTGCGGGGTTTCCAGCAGCGATCCCTCCCGGGCTTGGCTTGTTGGCTTGTGTTTGGAAGGGAGTGCAAGCGAGAAAGCCTTCCCACCCTTCCTGTCAGAATTGAAAGCCATAGAAATCACTGAGACCCCTCGCTTTAGGGAAGGGAAAGCTGTCTCAAAGAGGAACCGTGGCTCCCCAAGGAGTCACAGGCGGTTAGTGACAGAGTTGGGCTGACCCTCCCAGCTCCGGACGCCCAGCGACGTCCCCTTCCTCCTGCCCCAGGTCTCAGGTTTGGGTGTGTGGCCTGAGAGGCTGGTGGCAGCAGCTGGGGGGGGGGGCGTGGGCGTTCACCCAGCTGCCCACCAGCCCCTACATGGTGTCCCTCGTCCCTGTGGCTACCCAGGGCGGCACGGGCTCACCCACTGACAGGCCCTGTCTCCTGCTTTGTTTTCCCCAAGGAGCTGGATGACGGCCTGGACGAAGCGTTTTCCAGGTAAGGCGCGCCGGGCTCCCGGTGCCCGGGAAGGAGGCTCAGCCTTCACCGGCTGGTCTTCGGGGCCCTTTGTCGCACCTGGGAACGTGAACTCTGACTGGCTTCAAAGTCTCAACCCCAACACCTCTAGGGCCGGGGGCTGGCGGTGCGGGGTTGGCTAGGTCTGCCGAGAAGCTCTCCCCGTGGGATCAAACCACTCCTAGGGGCTGAGCTGGACAGAACGGCCATGGCTCAGGGGCACTGGCTCTCGATGCCGGTGCCTGCGAAAGGCGGCTGTCGGCTGGCTGCTTCCGCGGGGGCTTCGCGTTTATGAGAAGGGGCAGGGAGGAGGCTGCTTAAATTAGGCCGGCGGAGTGCGACAGGGGAAGAATGTCAGGCACAGAGCGGAGATATTTTGGTCCAGCCTGAGGGTGGTGGCATCTCCCCACTTTCCCAGGGCCGTCCCTGTAGCCATGGCTACCTTCCGCTTGGGGACACGCCACCGGGGAGGCTGGGGCTGCGGCGGGGCTGGGCAGCCGCTGTCCCAGCTCCGGGCCTGGCTGTCAGGCCCTGCAGTCCTCCCGGTCAGGGCTGCTGCGTGTGGTGTCAGGAACAGTGGCTCGGAGCCCACAAGGGGAACAGAGTTGGGGGCTTTTCCCTCTCCCCCCTCCTCTTCCCATTTCCTGCTTGGGCTTGTTGGACCCCTCTGGGGGTGAGTTGGGGCGTGGTGACCCCTTCTTGGAGGCAGAGACATTATTGCCTCCCCTGCTTTGCTGGCTGACTACAGCCCCCTCAATAGGAGAAAAATCTTGTATTTGCTTTTTTCAGATGACTCAAGTATCATGTGCCCTTTATTAACAACTTTGAAAATCAGCAAAGCGTTAAACAGGAAATGACACCATCCCATAATCCCACAGCTCAGACATTTGGGCTTAATTCATGCTAATCCCATACATACACATATACTTTTTTTGCATCTATCAGCTCATCGTATGTGCATTTGGGGAGCCTGATTTTTCCCTTATCATGGCTGTATCAGAAGCCTTTCTGTAGACCTTAAAAACTCTGTGCAGGCACCTCCTTCATGGCCTGCCTCATTTTCTGAAGCCACGGGCCGGAATGAACTCTCCCCCGCTCTGGACATTCAGGCTCTCTCCCCTTTTCTGTTTATTTTCCCAGCAAGTCTGTTTGGACATAGCTCCAGCCAGTGCTGTTTGTGGTTGGTTGGGCCCCTCCCACACGTGTCCCTCTCGCTGCCCTTGCCATTGCTGCCCCTTCTCCTCTCTCGGGGCACTTCCCGGCAGAGCCCTGGGCAGTGCCGTGCCCTCCTCTCGGGGACAGGAAGGCTGCTGCCAGCCACACAGCCTTGAGCTGTTTGACCGTCGGGGTGGGCTCTCCGCCCAGGGGCCACTTCTCCTGGCATCTGGGCTTTCTCCCCTGCCCCTGTGTTCTGGCATTCTCCAGCCATGCCCTCTCACTCTGACCCGGGGCTGGCAGGCTCACCTCAGACCTCACCAGCTCTTTGCCTGACCCCCAGCTCACCCCGCTCTGCCTTCCAGGCTTGCCCAATCCCGGACAAACCCTCAGGTCCTGGACACTGGACTGAGCGTGCAGGACATCCACTACGCCCAGTGCCTCTCTCCCACCGACTGGGACAGGCCTGACAGTGGCAGCGCCGAGCAGGATGACCTCTTCAACTTCTGAGGCCTGGGCTGGCGGGACCCGTGAAGGACCAAAGCACCCGGCGGGGGCCCCTGGAGGGGGCCCCCCGCCAGCCTCCTCAGCCAGCAGCACCGTCCACTTGCAGATCAACGCTGCAGTCCGTCAGCAGGGTTTTTTGTTTTTGTTTTTGTTTTTAATCCTGCTCTTTCTCTGAGAACTGAAAGATGCCTTGAATATTTATTTAGTGACTCCAGGTTCAGTTGAGAAGCCAGTTCTGCGTCAGGCAGGACTCCTGCATGACCGGCGCAGGGACATCCCGCCCCGGCCCTCACGGCCCACACAGCTCCGCGGTGGGTGTCAGGATGGCGGCCAAAGCATTTCTTGTCCCTGCCCTCCCCTGAGGACCCAGACTCCTGGGACGCTCCTGCTGAAGTGGTTGGATTGCTCATCTTTCGGGTACAGGAAGGGACGCGTCCTGAGCCTGCCTCCCACAGCGGCCCTGTGGGCCTAGGCTTAGCCCTGGGACTCCTGGAGCAGAGGGGCAGCCCCTGACCAAAGACTCGGCACTAGGTGGCACTTTAAAGGCCCAGCAGGTGAGGCCGGGCTCTGCCTGGAGCTCTGCAGGTAGCTTCTTTCTGCCCTCGTCCTTGAGGAGGCCCCGGGGCCCGGGGCCCCGCAGTGTGTGCAGCCAGTCTAGGGAGCCGCCCGCAGGCTCCCTGGCCTGACGGCACAGCAAGGTCTGCGTGTGGCTGCCTGCGGGCCCCGACACAGCCGGCTGCCGCCTTCTGGCGTCCGCTGGTCCGAGCGAGGTGTCTCTGAGGCCCCAACTCTTCGTGGGGCCAACGTGTGAAACCTAACACCCAGGCTCCTGAGCACCACGCCACCTGCCAGACAGGGAAAGGGAGGCCAGGCCGGAGGGGCGGAGGCAAGAGCGGAGCGGGACCTGCCGCCAAAGGCCGTCTCCCCGCACTCGCGCTCACGCCTCCCTGTTTTCTGGCTTTGTTGTCCTCCCAGGAACCAAAAAGCCCCAGCTATTTTCTGACCAAAATGTGTTTCATAACAAACCATCTGGTGCCTTTCCACACAGAACTGGCACGCGCCTCTGCGCCCGGCTAGCTGTCTCGCTGTTGATTTCCATGAAAATGGAAGTGTTTGAAGTCTGTAATTCTGAGGGTGAAACAAAACCAAACCCCACAGGCTGTTCTTCCCACTCCAGGTCAGGCGTGCCCGCAGCAGTCTGTCCTCAGCACCTCCCTGCCTACCCCCCTGCCCCCCCAGAACTGCCCACACCCCCATCCTCAGGTGCCAGCAGGCCTGGCTGTGCTGGTTGGAGGAGGTTCCACCAACCCAGAAAACTCGCCGTTCTTTAAAATCTACTTTCCCGAGCACTTGAACCAAGGCTCGTGAGAGACAAAGGCCTGGGTGAGGGGTCATAGGGTCTTTGTCAGAGTACGGGGATCCCCCTTTCCCACCCAGCTTCTGCAGCCTTGCTGCGCACCCCGAGCCTGCTCTCCTCCCCGTTTTGTCACGAGGCAGCAAGGGCTGGGCCTGACACAGGCCATCTTGGCACGAGGGCCCAGGACTCTTGAGAAGGGCCACGCTGTGCTTGCGTGCTCACGCTGGCCTTGGTCCTGCCTCTGGCCAGTGCCCAGCGTGCCACGTGTGACTGTAGATAAGTTTTGTGCTTTACTTTGTGTTGCTGTAAAGGAGTTTCTAATGAGGAAAAGTAAGTAATAAACATTCTCTTTTTGGAAAACCGTGTGCTTGGATGGAGCGGCCTGGTGCGCGAGTGCGGCGCCTGGCAGCTCTTGCCCTTTGGCGGCTGGACGCAGGCCCAGCAGTGGGGGGAGGATGGTGTGTGGTCCCCCGGTTGAAGCCCAGGAGGGCTCCCCTTCAGCCAGCAGGCGGGCGTGTGTGATGAGGCCCCCTGGGAGGATATCAGCGAGCCAGTGTGCCTCTCTGAGGGGCGCAGCCCGAGCAGACGCGTGACCCCTGATGTGTGTATGTGGCGTTGTATGCCTGGGTGATTTTCTCGGGGATTGTGTCCATCCCCCATCACACTCAGCGGGGTCCACGACATTTGTTCATTTGGTGAACACGATGCAGGCGTGGGGCTCAGCACTGGGGAGCACAGTGCAGGCATTCAGGGCCCAGGTGCCCTCAGCAGCCTGGGTGTGGCCGGGCGGGAGGACAGTGTCTTAGAGAGGTGGGAGGCCCAGGGCCCAGCGCCGACTGCCACTGGGCGCTGTGACACTGGGTCATCCCTTCTTCCTGAAGCCTCAGTCTCCCCACCTGGGAAGGGTCCCACAAACCCTGCCCTGCCTGTCAGGTTTCTGAGGCTCAGAGGCAACCGTTATGTTATTGGCGGCAGGTGGCTCAGAGGATATCCCAGAGCCAAAGGCAACCTGACCAAATGCGTCCCAGAAGGTCAAGGTGATGACGCCAGCCAGGACCTGAGCTGGCTCTGCCAGGCCACGGGGCTCTCCCATGACTCCCTGAGCCCAGGTGCTCCAGCCCCAGAAGGAAAGAGTGTGACCCTTGGCCCCACACATCGGAGGTGGTGGTGGTGTTGCCCGAGGCCCCACAGGCTGTGACCACCCCAGAGAGCTGCCCTGCAGGCCCCGGGGGACTCTTCGGCCATTTACTTCTTTGTCCCTTTCAAACTGGTGTTTAAAGCATCCGGAACCCAGAGGAGAGCCCTCTGATGCCAGCCGTCGGCAGACTTGCTGTGAATGCTGAGTGAGTGGTAGATGACTAAGAAATTCTCTCCTTTCTTCTCCTCCCATAATGTGAAAAGACACCCAACAAGTTCATCTTTCGGTTTAAATTTGGCCAACGTCTTTAGTCTCCGGATGTCTCAAATTATGAATCCTGAGCACCCGCCGTCTGCCCTTTCATGCATAACGGATGAAGCAGGGAAGAACAAAGTCGCCTTTCAGATTTGATGTGACCTTCAGCTTTGCTGGTAGATGTTAGGGTCTTCTTTCCCAGGAGAAGATACCATCCCAATTAAATCTCCCCAAGGACTTTCCGACAAGCCTGGCTAAGGAGTCTGGGCTCGGAGCCCCACTGCCCTTTCTCGGCAGCTCCCCCCGGCCCCCATGGGGCGAAAGCAAACTCAGGGCTGCTCTTGTGCAAAAAAGCCCAGCAGTGGGCAGCGGCCACCCAGGCGAGGAGCTGGGCCAGGGCCCCTCCATAGGCAGGGGCAGGGCCTAGGCCGGCGGGCCCCGGGGGCTGGCCTGTCCTCACCGACGGGTCACAGCGGCTGCCCTCTGCGGCTTCTCCGCACGTGCCCAGTGGGCCTCAGCAGGCCGCGTCATGAAGCAGAGCCCTGTCACACCCTCAGCCTGTGGGTGGGGAGGGGGCGCCCGGCGCTCGGTGAACTTTGGTGTCCCAGAGGAGCAGACTGGGAGCGCTGCTGCCGGTGAACGCCAGCGGGGCCAGGAGCCGGCGGCACTCTGGACACCAGCATGTCTCACGTAGCTGCTTTAAGCTGCGGTGCAGTGACGCCAGGGGGACTCTTAGCCCATACTGAGGCGCGTGGAGCTTCTGTGGCCTGGCACAGCTGCCTCTGCAGAACGCCGAGGCCGTGTGAACAACCGGATGACCTTGCTGCTTAGGGGGCTCTGCGCCCGGCAGCGACCTGAGGCAGGTGCCCCGCATGCAGACGTTGTCCGGTTGCTGCCTGGCTTCTAGCCAGGACGGACGTGGGCCGCCACACGTCCTTGCTGCCAAGCAGCAATTCTGACTGTGCCTGCGGAGCCCCAGCTTGGGGTCAGGAGGCCGGGACCTGCCTTGTCTTGATCGCATCACAGCCCAAGGGTGTGCGGCTCATGGTCCCTGGAAAGCTCTTGGGTGTGGGCTGGGTTGCACCACCTTCTGGGATCATCAGAAGTCATTGCCGAGGCAGCAGGAAGAGGAGTGTTCTGGCGGGGTCCTGAAGTGGGGGGGCGGGGGGGGAGCTGGGGTCTACCTTCGCCAGCCTGGGCACTCTGCAGGCCAGGCCTGTGTCCGATTCGCCCTGTGGCTCTGTGCCCAGCACAACACCCAGCACGGAGTGGCCATCAGTGCCTCGGGTCAACCAGCCCTGCTTCCTGGGAAGACCTGCTGAGAGCAGGGCAGCCCTGGGTCTTGGTGGCACTGGGCAGCTGCAGCCTGAGCTCTGCCTGGCAGGCTCTGTTCTGCGGGCAGGTCCATCTCTGGCAAGGCCCCACATGCCCCGGGCTCTGGCATGACAGGTCTCTGTCACACGCAGCTGGGGTGGGACTCACAGTATCTCTAAAACGGGATTCTAGAATGTTAGCTAGTGCTGGAAGAGCCCACTGTGGACTTTCAGTCCACCCAGCTCGTTTGTAGCTAGGGATCCAAAACCCACAGAAAACAGGACTTGCCCAGCCTGTGGGCAGTTGAGAAGCAGAGCTGAGATGGGGCCTTCTCCAAGAGCAAGGCCAGTCCACACTCCCCTGCCTGGAGCAGGGCAGTCCCTTCCTGGAGCTCTGGGTGGGGCCTTGGGCCGGAGGTCTGCAGAGAGGGTGGGGAGTGGAGACAATTACGAAAAGAAGAGGCTGGAGAAAGGACCTCGGTGAATTTTTAAGCACATAATGAACATCAGCTCATCATCTGTCTCTTCATTCCTTCTCAAGGACCCTGAGGCCCCATCTACAGCTCAAGCTGCTGGCAGCGACACCAGGAGAGAGCACAGGGTGTGTGATTATGAGCACGGCCTCCGAAGCCGGATTGGACTGGCCTGGCCTGGCCTGGCCTGGCCTGGCCTGGCCTGGCCCGGACTGGGTTTCCGTCTCAGGTGTGCTGCTTATTAGCTGTGGAATGACTTACTAGTCTGGGTCTCAGTTTACTGGTCTGTAAAACAGGGTGATCGCTACCTTGGAAACAGGACATTGTGAGGAGTAAATGAGTTAAAGGATGGGTTAATACCTGCCAGGTGCTGAGAATACCTTGCACGAGGCCGTCACCGTGTTTTTAACTATTGCTGTGGGTGGGGCAGGATGGAGCAGGGAACACCCGTCTCACGGGAGAGGTAAGGCCCACCCAAGGTGGCGCATTTGGCAGAGGCGAGCCACGGCCCTCCGGCCTCACCCACGTGCACGCTCTGGGCCCACCTTGCCATCAAAGTGCACCCTCAGGAAAAGTTCTGGAAACATCCTGAGCCAGTCAGGACTCAGTCAAGAAAATAATCTACCTGAGCTGTTTCCACAGGAAGGTATGTAATGGTTTCCAGAACGCCAGGAGGCTGGGGTGCGAGGGAAGCCGCCGGGGTTCAGGGGGTGAGAGGAGGGTGGGGGGCTGTGCCCCTGCAGTCCTGCCCGCAGATCTCATTGGCAGAGCTGATGGAAGCCTGCTGGCAGGGGGCGGTGGGAAGGGTGGTTGCAGCCCCCCCCCAGGTGCAGGGGGGCATACAGGAGTGGGGGGAGGGGAGTGGCGCTGAGATGCCCCTGTTCCACCCTGCACCCCTCCCCTGTGGATGCCCTTGAGGCGGGAGATGGGCAGGCTCACCACCACAGACTCATGCGGGCACTATTCTGAGAGCTCACCCGCATCTCCGTGACCTCCACGGCAGCCATGCAGGGCCCAGACGAGATGCTGGACCGGCACCAAGACTCTACCCGGAGTCTTCTGGCCCCGGGTGCTGGGGCTTTGCCCCTGGGTGCACTGAGCCAGGCTGGAGGTCAAGAGTCATTCACTCAACACCCAGTGACTGAGAGCCCGTGACCCCATAGGACAGACTGGGTTCTGGGGACTTAGAATAAAGCAGCCAAAAGAGGGACAAGAACTCACCTGTGCTGGGTGCGGGGCTCCATGGTTGTTAGCTAAATCGCTGTTTCAGTTTCCTCACAGAATGGGAAAGTGATAGCCTCTCATCACAGTAGGTTAAGTATTAGGGTTAACTGAATTAACTTAGTGCTCACAAACAGTTCTGGGAAGATTCTGTTTAACTGCTTGAGATTGTTTTTAAATCCCATCCTTAGGAAGTTGCCTTTGCACTGGGGGAGGGGAGCCGCTGACCCCGCCTCTGTGCACGAAGGGTGTAGGGTGCCTGGCCCTCTGAGGGCAGAAGGTGGGGGAGGAGGGTCCCCCTCCCCCCTGGGCCTGCTGGTGTGTGCAGGGCTCTGCGCGGGGAGCAGGACCCGGGGGCGCCGGGCAGGCGAGCTCCTTCTCCTGAGTCTGAGGAAACCCCGGAGGCGGTCAGTGTGGTGGGCGAGGTCAGGGCTGCTGGGAGGAGGTTGGGGAGAGCTGGGAAATGAGGTGGGGGGGCAGGACGCTGAGTGGAGCCTCGGGCTGAGTGGTGGGTGTGAGATGGAGTCTGGAAGGGCTCTGTGCCAGGACAGACACGAGACACCGAGCCCGCCTGGTGAGTGGGTGCAGAGACCTCGGGGCTCTGGTGAGCCCAAGACAAAGCCCTCTGGGCTTGGCAAGGGCAGGGGGAGCTTAGAAGGGAAAGGCGTCTCCTCCCCCCTTTCTCCAGCTGCAGGAAGAACTGAGTGCCTGTGCAGGGAGCGTGGGCTTGCAGGTCCGCCTGCAGTGACGGGGAGCCGGCATGCGGCCGGGCTGTGGTCCCCTGCTGTCTCGTCCCTGCCACCGCAAGGCTGTGACGCAGCGAGGGCCTCTGGGACATTGTGTCCTTACTCTGAGGCTGTGGAGAGGGAAGTGGGGGCTCCGTGGGTCTGTGCGCCCCAGGTGTGCATCCCGGTGTGTGAG